TGAGTAAGGAGGTAGTGATGGGAGGGTTGGGAGTGCAGGTATTGTTGGGGCAATAAGAAGAGTAGGGGGAAGAGGAGGAGGGATCTGGAGAGAGAGTTCCAGAGTGGTTCACGAGAACTGGGCGCAGAGTAGAGCGTGGGCGAAAACTAACGTCGTCCGGGAGTGTGAAGCTTTCCACGGTGTCGAGTCTGGTGCAGCTACTTGTTTTGATTCTGTAGGTTACCTGCCTGCCCCGGTTGAAACTATGAAAAGAGTGGCCTAGCTAGGGGTCGAACCAAGGACCTTACTATACTAGACGGGTGCTCTACCAACTGGACCACCGGCCCGTACGAGTATGGATTGACTCATTCCAACACCTCGCTGTAACAGCGTGTTTTGCGCTCAGATATCCACAGCGACCACAGCGAAGGACCTGTGCAATGCATAGCTGCGAGCTAGAGCGACGCCAGACATGAAACCTTTCCCAGCCTGGCACCCTCAAAGCCCGAGCACACACCCATCCAAACCACCACATGGGGACATAGCAAACGCCCGTCAATTCCCCTCCCACCTTTTATCGTCCAAAATCAATTTACCACCTCCGTGTACCGATGGATACAAGCCCGTCTCCAAGACCTTTCTCGACCTTCTCTTTCCTGCCTCCCCCCAGCCCGACATAGCAATAGCTGCACGCAAACCGTATAACCCCAGGTCCTCCCCGCAGATCCAGCCGTAATGCTGGGACTAAGGGGGAACCAGTTGGTGACAGTGAGGTTTGTATCCAACCAACGGTGGGAGGAGGAGGGTGAGGGGGGTGAGGAGGTGGACGCTGATGATGATTATGCATAGGTTCCGGTTCCCCCCCGCCTCCTCCACCGGCTGCGCCAGCGCGACTCAAACCTCGCAACGGTGTCTAAAACGCCTATGTCAAGAACGAATCTAGCTTCGAAAACGATGACACACTTTATCGAACCGTTGGTGGTCGATGTTAACGCGGCAATGTTACCAACTCGAACATGTGGGCGGGCCCCCTGGTGCAGTTGGTATTGTTCCTGAAAGTATAGGCGGGATACTGCTAACCACAATACCCTGGGTTCGAGTCCCAGTGCCTGCCCCCCAGTGTGTAAACCTCTCTCTCAACACACCCTCTGTTCGTTCTGCACTGTGGTGATTGGTCTGTTGACCGGACGCAAGGAAGGGCTAGGATCGGTCGGTTGGGGTATTCCACTGCGATAACATCATATGAAACCCTGCATAGTGGAGTGTGGATAGGTGGTATGGTGGGAGGGGTCATTGGCGGAAAAGGGTGC